CTTCTCAGGATGACTAGAGATCTCCACATAGTCCAGAGCAGACTAGAGATCTCCACATAGTCCAGAACAGACCTGAATCCAGTAGACTTCTCAGGATGACTAGAGATCTCCACATAGTCCAGAGCAGACTAGAGATCTCCACATAGTCCAGAACAGACCCGAATCCAGTAGACTTCTCAGGATGACTAGAGATCTCCACATAGTCCAGAACAGACTAGAGATCTCCACATAGTCCAGAACAGACCTGAATCCAGTAGACTTCTCAGGATGACTAGAGATCTCCACATAGTCCAGAACAGACTAGAGATCTCCACATAGTCCAGAACAGACCTGAATCCAGTAGACTTCTCAGGATGACTAGAGATCTCCACATAGTCCAGAGCAGACTAGAGATCTCCACATAGTCCAGAACAGACCTGAATCCAGTAGACTTCTCAGGATGACTAGAGATCTCCACATAGTCCAGAGCAGACTAGAGATCTCCACATAGTCCAGAACAGACCTGAATCCAGTAGACTTCTCAGGATGACTAGAGATCTCCACATAGTCCAGAACAGACTAGAGATCTCCACATAGTCCAGAACAGACCTGAATCCAGTAGACTTCTCAGGATGACTAGAGATCTCCACATAGTCCAGAACAGACTAGAGATCTCCACATAGTCCAGAACAGACCTGAATCCAGTAGACTTCTCAGGATGACTAGAGATCTCCACATAGTCCAGAGCAGACTAGAGATCTCCACATAGTCCAGAACAGACCTGAATCCAGTAGACTTCTCAGGATGACTAGAGATCTCCACATAGTCCAGAGCAGACTAGAGATCTCCACATAGTCCAGAACAGACCTGAATCCAGTAGACTTCTCAGGATGACTAGAGATCTCCACATAGTCCAGAGCAGACTCGAGATCTCCACATAGTCCAGAACAGACCTGAATCCAGTAGACTTCTCAGGATGACTAGAGATCTCCACATAGTCCAGAACAGACTAGAGATCTCCACATAGTCCAGAACAGACCTGAATCCAGTAGACTTCTCAGGATGACTAGAGATCTCCACATAGTCCAGAGCAGACTAGAGATCTCCACATAGTCCAGAACAGACCTGAATCCAGTAGACTTCTCAGGATGACTAGAGATCTCCACATAGTCCAGAGCAGACTAGAGATCTCCACATAGTCCAGAACAGACCTGAATCCAGTAGACTTCTCAGGATGACTAGAGATCTCCACATAGTCCAGAGCAGACTAGAGATCTCCACATAGTCCAGAACAGACCTGAATCCAGTAGACTTCTCAGGATGACTAGAGATCTCCACATAGTCCAGAACAGACTAGAGATCTCCACATAGTCCAGAACAGACCTGAATCCAGTAGACTTCTCAGGATGACTAGAGATCTCCACATAGTCCAGAGCAGACTAGAGATCTCCACATAGTCCAGAACAGACCTGAATCCAGTAGACTTCTCAGGATGACTAGAGATCTACACATAGTCCAGAGCAGACTAGAGATCTCCACATAGTCCAGAACAGACCTGAATCCAGTATACTTCTCAGGATGACTAGAGATCTCCACATAGTCCAGAGCAGACTAGAGATCTCCACATAGTCCAGAACAGACCTGAATCCAGTAGACTTCTCAGGATGACTAGAGATCTCCACATAGTCCAGAGCAGACTAGAGATCTCCACATAGTCCAGAACAGACCTGAATCCAGTAGACTTCTCAGGATGACTAGAGATCTCCTCATAGTCCAGAACAGTTAACAGGCACAGCAAGCCCTCTGACCCTCGCAGCGAGCAGACGCTCCGGTCTCTCTCTCTCCGACCCTCGCAACGAGCAGACGCTCCGGTCTCTCTCTCTCAATGTTTAGCCAGATTTAGAAGTGAAGATGTAGTCACTCGTTCCAGACACGTTATCTTCAAGCCACATGTTTCCGGTCCAGAAACACTTTCAGAACATCCTGCACATTTTGGGGGGCACTCTCAGAATTAGAGCCATTTCTCCCGCATCGGCGCAGCGTCCACAGCAGCTAGACCAGGCATCTCTTATCCAACCGCCTAGGCCCTCGGCTGCTCGTCATCCCAAGCGTACCACGCTTACATCCGCAACATCTAAACGACGTCTGACATGCACACGCTTAAGTCAGCTGCTTTTAATCCGACTCTTTTGGGGGACCGTAATCAGCCCACGCAGTTCATGCCGGAGACGGAACCCCCACTCTGAGTCTCCCACAGCACGGACCATAGCTCGTCCTCCCAGATCACCTCTTCACCCCCCTCATATCCTTCACATGTTACTTCAATAAATGCACAAACATCACACTGTTGTGGCGTGGTTCTTGCTAGTGAAATGAGGTTAAAATGTTAACATAGGTTCAGGAGCATGGCCACGCCTAAAACTCCGCCTCAAACCACAGCCACCCCTATTTATATCCGGCAAAGCTTCCGGCAAACGCTTGTCTCATCTTTCAACCCACCCTCCCTCACCCTTCTACCCATAAACATCCTCTGCCCATCACCATTTATATCTAAACGGTGCATATCTATACTGCGTATACTAACATTAAACTCCAGGTATTGTCTGGGGGACCGTAATCAGCCCACGCAGTTCATGCCGGAGACGGAACCCCCACTCTGAGTCTCCCACAGCACGGACCATAGCTCGTCCTCCCAGATCACCTCTTCACCCCCCTCATATCCTTCACATGTTACTTCAATAAATGCACAAACATCACACTGTTGTGGCGTGGTTCTTGCTAGTGAACGGACATTTGGTACTTTAGTGCATAGATGTAATATAAAGAAACTCACAATACAATTCGCTATGGGACTTACAGACTGGTAGATAACCTAACATTTTTCTTTAGGTTAATATAATGGGAAACAGTTGTATTGCTCTTTATTATAATAAATGTGTCTTGTGGATCTCTTAGTAACAATCAACAGTGTGGAAAAGTTTAATTTATGAAAAATATTGAATACATAAGGAAATATACAACAACTAAGAAATACTCACACCTGAAAATGTTTGGATTCTAATAAAATAGCCCTGCAATAAATCCTACCACCGTGTACTGTTGTTTTAACAGTTTCAGAAAGGTGGGGATTCAACTTTATGGGGCTGTTGCTTTGTAATATTTCATAATGAGATGTTGTTCTAATATTGTGTCCAACTTATTTATGCCAATGAGGATAAGTAAATATAAACTAGGTGTGTCTGATAAAAGTTTAATAAAAAAACACACACGCTTTGAGTGGCAAACTACAATATTGATATGAAGTCATTATTGAAAGAGCACTGTCAGGCACCTAAGTAAGCACAATAAGCGATAAATCACAGCTCTTTGTTCATGGAAATGTTATCATTATAATGAAGGAAGCGTAAAGAAACCCACAGAACAAACAGTTTGGTGCTGTAAAGTAGTACAGTACAGTTTCATTATGTGGTCAAGTCCAAAGGTTAGGGTTAGGGTTACGTGACACCAAGGTCATAACTCAAATGATAACTCAAAACGTTATTACAAGCAAAAACACTATTTTATCACTAGCCATATATGCAGTTCAATCAGGAGAGACTTCATTTGGTTTAAAGAACATTTATTGACACATGTCATATGATAAATGTTAAGTCTTTGGCGTGATATCACACCGGCATGTTACAACACCTCACCCCCCTCACATCAAAGGATATCACACCTAACTGTGATATCACACCAACCTGTGATAACACCTCGAACAAAGGGGTCATTAGCATATCAAAGGAGGTCATTAGGTATTTGTATAACTACTGAGGTGGATGGGGGGGAGGCGGGCTCAACGCCCGTGATGAGCTGATTATAAGCAGCTGCAGCCTGAATGTATACCAGTCTTCCTGAAAGAACTTGCGCTGAGCTTCATTTGACAGTTGATGGGGAAACAGTCACGTCAGCATTATGTCATGGATATATTTCTTCACATGTCTGTATTCACAACCCTGTCTCCTAGAAATTACGTTCCCACAAAACTAAACTGCATTCTCAAATACGTTTCGCAAGAAACGTATTTCCTTCCACGTTACGTTTGTTATGAACATATCTTAAATACGTTTATTTTCTACATATCTTCTAGAAACCTATTTTCTCCCACATGACGTTTGTTATGAACGTATCTCAAATACGTTTGCTTTCTACCTATATTTGCCATTTCTTTTCTAGCTTATAATAATGATAATAGTAATTTATTAATATCATTTTAGAGCAAACTTATTTTCGCGCTGGCTGGCGGCTCACTGTTAAGTTTACCAAATCCGTTATTATGCTGGTTAATGGTTAATAATCACAATATTGTTTGTAGTCGTTTCATACAGCATTCTCAATTACGTTTAACAAGAAACGTATTTTGTCCCACGTTACGTTTGTTCTGAACATATCTTAAATACGTTTGCTTTCTACCTATCTTTGACATTTCTTTTCTAGCTTATAATAATGATAATAGTAATTTATTAATATCATTTTAGAGCACACATTTGAAATCGACGATCGGGCTTGATATCCTATGGTTAAATTAAAATCAGTAGGCGAGGCTATAATTTCGCCAGCTGGAGGCAGAGTTTTAACATCCCAAAAAGCTGCTGTGTCGTTTATTGCACCTCAAACACCTCAAACTTCCTCTAAGGACAGCAGAAGAGCTCTGTGGCTTCAGGCTTCATCGCCGTTCAAATGACAGCGTTGGTTTCCCCAAAAGTGGGTGGGGCTGTAAAGTGACGTAGATTTTACTCTCATCTATTATTCAAAACCATTCTATTTATTCTAACGTAAATTACATGCCAGTGTTTTATCTTTTTATTAAGCGATTTGTTTCTGTTGTTTAACTCATAGATATATATAAACATATGTTTTTATATATATCTATGGTTTAACTGGGAATGTTTTCACATTGAACCGGAAGTACGTCACTTCACTTTGTCTTCTTCGTCCCTTTTACGTTCCAGACAATGCATGGCTCAGCGTAACAGACTGAACAGCGACCCCAGGTGTGTCTACATTGGAATTACATCTTCATTACTGAAGGAAAAATACTTTACCTTGTGTTTGTTAACTGGGTTTTTAATGCAGTTGGCTTTTCTTAATGGTTACAATATTGCTATGAGTTACAGTATATCTGAAGCAAATTATGTTTCTGAAGATGTGTAGTCAATTCCACCCTTCAATGTAGCATAAATGTGAACTCTCATTACAGGAACAATACCGGAAACAGACGTAGGAAAGATCCTCAGCTTGCTGATTGGATGTTTTAGCCGCAATGCACGTTGGGATATGGTGTTTATGCGATGTGAACTCCGAAAACATTAAAAAAAATAATAATAATACTTTATTCCGAGTGTTCTTGCTTTTCTCTTTGAAAGTCATCACATAACGGCATTGTAATACAACACGGTTCGGCTGCATTAAATATTACACATCTGCCGTAGTTCTTTATTTATAGAGCCCTGATGAGAAGACTTCTGGACAAACAGGAAGAACTGCCACCGAAACTGAATACGTGACGTGGATCATAAATATATCAACAATTAAACAACATCTTACATTTATTTTCACAAAATACGTCTCCTTGCAGTATCAATACTAATTCGGCTGACTTTTATATTTGATCCAATTGGTAGATAGGTTATATTTACACCATAACGGTGCACAGCTGATAGAAAAGGACTTGTAGTTTTTAAAGATATTACTGATTTTCTTTGAATATAAGAATGTAAATACTGAGTTGAGAGAATAGTCAGGGGATTTGGGTGATGGGAGACACATCTATGGAATCACAATTTTAATAGCTTACCATTAAATGACGGATATAGCTTTCTGTCTGTGATGTTTTACAAATCAGATATTAATGTGTAGAAGTAAACATGAGAAATAATATAGCAATATCCTGTACAATTATGTAAAAACATGAATACAACTACACATCTTCAGATGTTATACATACATAAGTGTCCTACACTAATAATACAAAGTTATTATTAGTATACTGTGTGTACCTTGTGTGCACCGCCTAGTGGTTAAAGCACGTTATTTAATTATTTTTGTTGACTAATGTTATTTTTGTTGAATAATGTTATTTGATGAATAAAATATTAAGAGTACATACTTTCATAGGGGGAAAGTAGAAGGTCAATGATAGAAATATAGAATATAAAAAATCAAGAAGATACTGTAAGTGATCTCTACAATAAAACAGTTTAGTGCCTGATGTACAAAGATATTAATATGAGGATGTGCAAAACAGACAAACTAATTAACCTTTATTAACACATTAAAGAATACTTTAGGTTTTCTTTCAAATAAGAAAAAAGCTTTGGGGGTATCTATCTACAGATAAATATTAAACCTGACAAAGTACTTAACGTCTAATATATTGCTTTCCTGCAATGTTAACTGTGTTGAAGCACTTATTTTAACTGATATTATATATATATTAATTATACTCTTATGTATGTAGATAGTATAAGACATGTGCAGAATTTGAGTTTAATGGTGGAGGAATACACACATATTGATAGATGTCTTGTAATGCACTGTTGAGGAACCTGTGACCCAAGTTTTTCATTAATTGCATAACTTCAACATAGTGGTGTATATGATATGTCAATAAACCTTAGAAAATCTTGAAAGGGATGTGCAAAATAGCTATTATATACAGTTTTTAATTAACTATTAGTCGAGAATAACGAGTAATGAATATACTTTATAGAGATCTGCAGATAAATGTTTAGTCTTCTCAAGCACCAACTAATATCTCTCCTGATTGTTGGCACTTGACAATCACCTTTCCCTGAATTTTACTCAGGTGTAACTAAAGTCTGCTTTAAGGGTTGTTTATATTTCACATCATTAATCAGAATCTGCAAAGTAACTAAAATAAATGTAGTGGAGTAAAAATACCAGGTTAACCTCTGAATTGTAGTGGAGTAGAATTACAAAGTAACAATGAGCTGGCATGTGGGTATATATTAATGCTTCCCATTATGGACACAAGCGATTTTCACCCATTTATTAATTACATGTTTTACATTTGTACACACCAATTTGTTTCCTATCCCCTAAACCTCCAGGGCTGTACACAGTTTAATACTGTCAACTTCTAATTTTGGGAAAAACGAAAACGTCTTTTAAAACTACAATTCCCAGTAGAGACGTCCATAGAACATGTTGCGAAACACAATAGCCAGCATGTGTAGTTCTGGGGGGGCGTTCGAGTCCAGTTTTGGAAAGTCTGCCGTGGTTTCGTTCCATTTCAAAGAGCTGTTTGGCGCTCGGCGTAACCTTGGCGCACTGCCACTCCAACATCCAATCCCAGAGCTTGAAGATTAATCACGGGGTTTGTCAACGGGACTGTAGTCCCAAACGATAGCTGGGGATTATGGGTAGTGTAGTGTCTTCGGCCATCCTAAACTCTGATTTTTTTTTCGGATTTCATATCGCATTAACACCATATCCCGACGTGCATTGCGGCTAAAACATCCAATCAGCGAGCTGAGGATCTTTCCTACGTCACTTTACAGCCCTGCCCACTTTTGGGGAAACCAGCTGTCATTTGAACGGCGAGCAAGCCTGAAGCCACAGAGCTCTTCTGTTGTATGTGTTCTGCTGTCTTCCTTTCTTCTTAGAGGAAGTACAGAAACACGTAACTCTGGATTTGTTTTAATGTTTGAGGTGCAATAAACGACACAGCAGCTTTTTGGCATGTTAAAACTATTATTTTCTGCCTCGCAGCTGGCGAAATTACAGCCTCGCCTACTGATTTTAATTTAACCATAGGATATCAAGCCCGATCGTCGATTTCAAATGTGTGCTCTAAAATGATATTAATAAATTACTATTATCATTATTATAAGCTAGAAAAGAAATGTCAAAGATAGGTAGAAAGCAAACGTATTTAAGATATGTTCAGAACAAACGTAACGTGGGACAAAATACGTTTCTTGTTAAACGTAATTGAGAATGCTGTATGAAACGACTACAAACAATATTGTGATTATTAACCATTAACCAGCATAATAACGGATTTGGTAAACTGAACAGTGAGCCGCCAGCCAGCGCGAAAATAAGTTTGCTCTAAAATGATATTAATAAATTACTATTATCATTATTATAAGCTAGAAAAGAAATGGCAAATATAGGTAGAAAGCAAACGTATTTGAGATACGTTCATAACAAACGTCATGTGGGAGAAAATAGGTTTCTAGAAGATATGTAGAAAATAAACGTATTTAAGATATGTTCATAACAAACGTAACGTGGAAGGAAATACGTTTCTTGCGAAACGTATTTGAGAATGCAGTTTAGTTTTGTGGGAACGTAATTTCTAGGAGACAGGGTTGGTATTCATGTGCAGACAGGGTGCCGTGTTTGCCTTGTCTAGGCAGTCACTATGGTGGGGCATGAGTAAGTGACCACGGCTGGATGTAATACAAGAGTGAATATCTTTGAATAAACATGGACAGAGCAGTGGAAATAAATAAATGAATATTTTCTCAGACACAATAGTGTAGCACTAAGAGAGAGCAGGAGAAGGCTTATTTTAATTTCGTCACAGTATGTATCATTCTTTACAGCTCTTCCTTTTAGGTTGACACATTCATTTTAAGCTTTTAATGTAACTTCTTACAATTATTTTTTATAATTATCCCGTATTTATTTTCTGGGGATATTCATAGGCTGGTTTGCGGCCAAGTAGGTCATTTATTTACACAGTGTGACAGTCAAAAATAATAATTACTGTTTGATTGCAGTATAGACAGGGCTGGACTGGCCATCTGGCATACCGGGCATTTTCCCAGTGGGCCGACGTGCCTTTTGGGCCGACACGTAATTTTCTTTTTTTTCTGAAGTCCCGGCCCATAAGACGGGTAGATTGGCCCTCTGTTTAAATGTTTTTAGTAATTGACACTGGGCCGGCCCAATCAAATCTTTAATCACCTCCCCCTTTGGGCCGCTCGGTGTGCATCATTAAATCACGCCCCCAGGAGGTGAGCCGGCCGTTGAAGCCAAACTGCCTTTTTTTTTCGAAAAAAAAAAAGTTCGAGTTAGAAATGGAGAAGGCGAAGGCGAAGACGAAGGCCAAGCAAAAAGGGGGAGCAGAAAAGTTGCGGGCAAGAAAAAAGCAGGCCCTTCGTGCTGATGCAGCCGCTTGTGTCAAAATAACCGACATGTTTAGTACAGGTGCAGGTCCATCTTCAGCACCCGTGGCCGATATTGGTGGTGAGGAAGAGGATGAGAGGGAGAGAGATCAGCGCGAGTGGGGAGAGGGAGGAGAACTCGCGGTAAGCAGAAGCTAAGAAAATTAGGAAAAGATTATTATTAAGGTTATGATACTCTGTAGTTCTGGAACCCATTAATATCCCCTTGATGAAGCACTAATAAGACAAATATTATAAGAGAAACATTCGTTAGCCTACAAGCTAGTAAGCTGGTTTTTTTAGGTTTTCCCTGGCAAGTTAAAATATAGCTTAATGGGACTCTGTTGTCTCATTGAAAGAATGTCATTATTTTGTTAACCACCATTCATGAACAATTACTGTCAGCTGGCAGCTTGTTTTGTTTAGTTTATTTACTTATGTGGTTATAAGGGCAACAGTGGTCTTTTGGGACCTGAAAAAAATGTTTATAGTCAGCTTTTTGTGGTAGTTTTGATTGACAATATATAGAATGAATAATATAGAAATAGAAAAAAAAATTGAGGCACACATGTAGTTTTGACCATTAACTGTGTGGTATTGTTATGTCAATGCCTATTTGTATGGACCTCTATCAGGGACCAAAGAGGTCACCTGCATCCTTTTTGACTCTCCCAAAGCCCCCCAACTACACTCACACATGCAAACAGACACACACACACACACACACACACACACACACACACACACACACACACACACACACACACACACACACACACACACACACACACACACACAACACACACACACACACACTCACTAACTCCTACCCCGAGGAATGGACGCTGGACATA